ACATAAGTGATATTGTGTATTTGTGTAGTATTGTCTAATCTATGTATGTGCTGAAGGAAGCTCCATAGAAGCAACGTTTATGTTTTGTTTGCGTTTGTTATATTGTAAAGCTCACTGACATACATTTTGTTCGGTTTTATATCTTTCCCAGTAACACACATAAGTGATATTGTGTATTTGTGTAGTATTGTCTAATCTATGTATGTGCTGAAGGAAGCTCCATAGAAGCAACGTTTATGTTTTGTTTGCGTTTGTTATATTGTAAAGCTCACTGACATACTTTTTGTTCGGTTTTATATCTTTCCCAGTAACACACATGAGTGATATTGTGTATTTGTGTAGTATTGTCTAATCTATGTATGTGCTGAAGGAAGCTCCATAGAAGCAACGTTTATGTTTTGTTTGCGTTTGTTATATTGTAAAGCTCACTGACATACATTTTGTTCGGTTTTATATCTTTCCCAGTAACACACATAAGTGATATTGTGTATTTGTGTAGTATTGTCTAATCTATGTATGTGCTGAAGAAAGCTCCATAGAAGCAACGTTTATGTTTTGTTTGCGTTTGTTATATTGTAAAGCTCACTGACATACTTTTTGTTCGGTTTTATATCTTTCCCAGTAACACACATAAGTGATATTGTGTATTTGTGTAGTATTGTCTAATCTATGTATGTGCTGAAGGAAGCTCCATAGAAGCAACGTTTATGTTTTGTTTGCATTTGTTATATTGTAAAGCTCACTGACATACTTTTTGTTTGGTTTTATATCTTTCCCAGTAACACACATAAGTGATATTGTGTATTTGTGTAGTATTGTCTAATCTATGTATGTGCTGAAGGAAGCTCCATAGAAGCAACGTTTATGTTTTGTTTGCGTTTGTTATATTGTAAAGCTCACTGACATACTTTTTGTTCGGTTTTATATCTTTCCCAGTAACACACATAAGTGATATTGTGTATTTGTGTAGTATTGTCTAATCTATGTATGTGCTGAAGGAAGCTCCATAGAAGCAACGTTTATGTTTTGTTTGCGTTTGTTATATTGTAAAGCTCACTGACATACTTTTTGTTTGGTTTTATATCTTTCCCAGTAACACACATAAGTGATATTGTGTATTTGTGTAGTATTGTCTAATCTATGTATGCGCTGAAGGAAGCTCCATAGAAGCAACGTTTATGTTTTGTTTGGTTTTATATCTTTCCCAGTAACACACATAAGTGATATTGTGTATTTGTGTAGTATTGTCTAATCTATGTATGTGCTGAAGAAAGCTCCATAGAAGCAACGTTTATGTTTTGTTTGCGTTTGTTATATTGTAAAGCTCACTGACATACTTTTTGTTCGGTTTTATATCTTTCCCAGTAACACACATAAGTGATATTGTGTATTTGTGTAGTATTGTCTAATCTATGTATGTGCTGAAGGAAGCTCCATAGAAGCAACGTTTATGTTTTGTTTGCATTTGTTATATTGTAAAGCTCACTGACATACTTTTTGTTTGGTTTTATATCTTTCCCAGTAACACACATAAGTGATATTGTGTATTTGTGTAGTATTGTCTAATCTATGTATGTGCTGAAGAAAGCTCCATAGAAGCAACGTTTATGTTTTGTTTGCGTTTGTTATATTGTAAAGCTCACTGACATACTTTTTGTTCGGTTTTATATCTTTCTCAGTAACACACATAAGTGATATTGTGTATTTGTGTAGTATTGTCTAATCTATGTATGTGCTGAAGGAAGCTCCATAGAAGCAACGTTTATGTTTTGTTTGCATTTGTTATATTGTAAAGCTCACTGACATACTTTTTGTTTGGTTTTATATCTTTCCCAGTAACACACATAAGTGATATTGTGTATTTGTGTAGTATTGTCTAATCTATGTATGTGCTGAAGAAAGCTCCATAGAAGCAACGTTTATGTTTTGTTTGCGTTTGTTATATTGTAAAGCTCACTGACATACTTTTTGTTCGGTTTTATATCTTTCCAGTAACACACATAAGTGATATTGTGTATTTGTGTAGTATTGTCTAATCTATGTATGTGCTGAAGGAAGCTCCATAGAAGCAACGTTTATGTTTTGTTTGCATTTGTTATATTGTAAAGCTCACTGACATACATTTTGTTCGGTTTTATATCTTTCCCAGTAACACACATAAGTGATATTGTGTATTTGTGTAGTATTGTCTAATCTATGTATGTGCTGAAGGAAGCTCCATAGAAGCAACGTTTATGTTTTGTTTGCGTTTGTTATATTGTAAAAGCTCACTGACATACTTTTTGTTCGGTTTTATATCTTTCCCAGTAACACACATAAGTGATATTGTGTATTTGTGTAGTATTGTCTAATCTATGTATGTGCTGAAGGAAGCTCCATAGAAGCAACGTTTATGTTTTGTTTGCATTTGTTATATTGTAAAGCTCACTGACATACTTTTTGTTCGGTTTTATATCTTTCCCAGTAACACACATAAGTGATATTGTGTATTTGTGTAGTATTGTCTAATCTATGTATGTGCTGAAGGAAGCTCCATAGAAGCAACGTTTATGTTTTGTTTGCGTTTGTTATATTGTAAAGCTCACTGACATACTTTTTGTTCGGTTTTATATCTTTCCCAGTAACACACATAAGTGATATTGTGTATTTGTGTAGTATTGTCTAATCTATGTATGTGCTGAAGGAAGCTCCATAGAAGCAACGTTTATGTTTTGTTTGCATTTGTTATATTGTAAAGCTCACTGACATACTTTTTGTTCGGTTTTATATCTTTCCCAGTAACACACATAAGTGATATTGTGTATTTGTGTAGTATTGTCTAATCTATGTATGTGCTGAAGGAAGCTCCATAGAAGCAACGTTTATGTTTTGTTTGCGTTTGTTATATTGTAAAGCTCACTGACATACTTTTTGTTCGGTTTTATATCTTTCCCAGTAACACACATAAGTGATATTGTGTATTTGTGTAGTATTGTCTAATCTATGTATGTGCTGAAGAAAGCTCCATAGAAGCAACGTTTATGTTTTGTTTGCGTTTGTTATATTGTAAAGCTCACTGACATACTTTTTGTTCGGTTTTATATCTTTCCCAGTAACACACATAAGTGATATTGTGTATTTGTGTAGTATTGTCTAATCTATGTATGTGCTGAAGGAAGCTCCATAGAAGCAACGTTTATGTTTTGTTTGCATTTGTTATATTGTAAAGCTCACTGACATACTTTTTGTTCGGTTTTATATCTTTCCCAGTAACACACATAAGTGATATTGTGTATTTGTGTAGTATTGTCTAATCTATGTATGTGCTGAAGGAAGCTCCATAGAAGCAACGTTTATGTTTTGTTTGCGTTTGTTATATTGTAAAGCTCACTGACATACTTTTTGTTCGGTTTTATATCTTTCCCAGTAACACACATAAGTGATATTGTGTATTTGTGTAGTATTGTCTAATCTATGTATGTGCTGAAGGAAGCTCCATAGAAGCAACGTTTATGTTTTGTTTGCATTTGTTATATTGTAAAGCTCACTGACATACTTTTTGTTCGGTTTTATATCTTTCCCAGTAACACACATAAGTGATATTGTGTATTTGTGTAGTATTGTCTAATCTATGTATGTGCTGAAGGAAGCTCCATAGAAGCAACGTTTATGTTTTGTTTGCGTTTGTTATATTGTAAAGCTCACTGACATACTTTTTGTTTGGTTTTATATCTTTCCCAGTAACACACATAAGTGATATTGTGTATTTGTGTAGTATTGTCTAATCTATGTATGTGCTGAAGAAAGCTCCATAGAAGCAACGTTTACGTTTTGTTTGCATTTGTTATATTGTAAAGCTCACTGACATACTTTTTGTTCGGTTTTATATCTTTCCCAGTAACACACATAAGTGATATTGTGTATTTGTGTAGTATTGTCTAATCTATGTATGTGCTGAAGGAAGCTCCATAGAAGCAACGTTTATGTTTTGTTTGCATTTGTTATATTGTAAAGCTCACTGACATACTTTTTGTTCGGTTTTATATCTTTCCCAGTAACACACATAAGTGATATTGTGTATATGTGTAGTATTGTCTAATCTATGTATGTGCTGAAGGAAGCTCCATAGAAGCAACGTTTATGTTTTGTTTGCATTTGTTATATTGTAAAGCTCACTGACATACTTTTTGTTCGGTTTTATATCTTTCCCAGTAACACACAGACACACGGTTTTCTTGTACATTTGAAATGGATCAGCCATTTGAGCTTTTGCATTGAAAATCTATATCATATAGAAAAGAACCATGTGATAGTAAAAAAAGAATCTTATCCTGGAGAATTCACAAAGATAAGAATAATAAAATGAGAAGTTATAAAAAGATAACAGTAGCTCTACTGAAATATTGTTGCTCATTTGTAAAGTGTCAAGAGACTTTCCATATAATAAGCTACAATGAGTGGTAAACAGGTCAGTTTCCTTCCTCTCTAACTCTACAGAGACAACAGAAGAAAGAAGATCAGTATATGTGATAAACAAACAGAAAAGAAAGATCGTAGCTGTGATAAGACTTTAAAAAAAAGGAAGATCAGTAGATGTGATAAGAGAACAGAAGAGAAAGAGCAGTAACTGTGATAAGACTGCAAAAATAAAAAGGAAGATCAGTAGATGTGATAAAAGAACAGAAGAGAAAGAGCAGTAACTGTGATGAGACTGCAAAAATAAAAAAGGAAGATCAGTAGATGTGATAAGAAAACAGAAGAGAAAGAGCAGTAACTGTGATAAGACTGCAACAAAAAAAAAGGAAGATCAATAGATGTGATAAGAGAACAGAAGAGAAAGAAAAGTAACTGTGATAAGACTGCAAAAATAAAAAAGGAAGATCAGTAGATGTGAAAAGAGAACAGAAGAGAAAGAGCAGTAACTGTGATAAGACTGTAAAAAAAAAGGGGGAAGATTAGTAGATGTAAAAGACGTGAAAGGATAAGACATGTAGAATCCTTTTGTTTTATAATGGTGTTACCTCATTCATGCAGGCCTTACTACAGTACTTCTCCTTGCCGCAGTGAGGACAGGACACTCCTGTGACATCACCCCAGTACTCTTTAATCAGCTGCTTCTGCTCTTCTCCCATGGACGAATACCTGAAAATTGTCACAGTTAGCAACCAACATCCCAGGTATACTCGATTGGTCTGCAACATCATTTATAATTCTACAAGATCTGCTTCATAATTAGTTTTGTAATTTTAAAAAAAAAATTTGCACAGAGTTGAGAACAATTGTCACACCAGGTTGGAGACCACTGTACTATAGCCAACCTTTATTGTGAAGATGGCACACAATTTCTTTTATATCCCATGCTCATTCCTCTCTACACCATGAAGATCAATTTGCTCTTCAGCCTTCTTCGTGTGTTTCTAATAGCCTTGGTGTGCATCAATTCCCCATCAAGTAATTCAGAACTGGCCATTTTATCTGCCTGTTAACTTCCTCCCAACACACTAACATGCCCTGGATCCAAATGATGCTCACTAACTGTGACCTCCAATAACAAATTTAAAAATTAGAAAACATATCCACAATAGGGCAGAGAATGAAACAGACCATGGTGCTTCAAACAGAATATCGGCAGAAATAAGAGCTTTTGTCCTGACTGTATGCAATGGTATACAGTACAAGCACCTTTTATTTGGCATTTTTGTTTTCAGCACTGCTGTAATAAATAATTTATTTTGAGTACCCGCACCTTTTTTAAAAGATATTTTATGGTGAGTACCAGCTTCTGTCTATTCTTTGTTCTCTAAAATTGAGTCATGAAACCCTCACGGGGAAATAAATATTCAAATTTGTACTTGTCTGTAAAATATGTTTCTGAAGAAAAAAAAAATATTTTTTCATTTTTGATGCCTAAAATCATTATAATCGCAATAATAGCTGTTAGGCTATTCTGTTTGATTTCCAACTGCCAAGGGATAGTTTTACGTATGCAACAATATACACAGGCATCAAATCTTACAACCCACAACCATGGGAAATTACTAGAAGTCATGTACAAAAATCCACTCAGCCCCTAATGAATGAATGAATGGAATGAATGAATGAATGAATGAATGAATGAATGAATGAATCAAGAACTGACATCACTGCACTCTGGACATTCCCACACATGCTCTGTTCCCTTCCTCAGCAGCCAATATGACCACTATGCTTCACCAAAAATAAACATATACACCATTTAATATCTGCTGTGTGAGACAAGTGCTGGCTAACTTGGGTGTGGGGTCTCTATGGCAAAGTGGTCAAGCCATTGGGGTCACGCTTTGAAGTTCGTGGGTTCATTTCACGGCTATGCTGTCCGGTCCATAAGTGCAATTTTTACAGAGAACCCTGCAAATCATCACAAGTGCTACGGAGTTTGTGCTTTGTGAGAACCTCTTCGCAGGCAGCTAGCCTTTCTGCGGAAAGAGACTGAGCCATATGGGATAAAACCTGAAGCAATAGATAAAGTCAATCCTCTCAACTTTAACCATGTTAGCTGCATATCATCTACAGGACACTCAAAACCAAACCCAGCATCTACTTACTGTTTATGGTTTTCTAGGCCATTTTACATCCAGTAGTTTGTTTTGGCTTGTCTGAATGGTCAGCTCTCCATACTATTAATGAAAGTGGTCTACTGCCAAATTAGTTGAGACCCTGGTATGTCAAAATTACAAACCCTGTTTACAATCCCTAAACCTCAGGTCTGATAAAGTCTGCTTTTAGCAGCAAAAACAGGAACAACAGGAGACTAAAAAGAGTAGAAAAAGAAGCCAGAAGAGTAAACGAAGAATAAATGTACGATCATTATGTAGCAGGTCCTTCACAAAATTCTGCTCTCATCACAGCCTGCCTGTCTCTCACCTTATGCACTTTCCTACCTAAGGTGTCTCTTACATCCTGTACCCACTTCCATGCTGTTCAGCCCCTGCTCCTCTTTCCTGACATCAAGCCTTCTGCTGCTATTCTTTCCAATCCACTGCAGCACTTGACATAGCCAAAATGTTTCTGTTTCCTGAGACAAAACGCTGTTTACTGCCCAATTTGTCTTGATGTTTATATCCTTTAGGATGTAAGTATTTCTCTTTTCTTCATCCATAGTATTTTGAGAACCTTTCGATAGCAATTCAGCTCAAAAGGCCATATTTTCTTCTCTAATGACTGCAAGATAGTCCACGTCTCACATCTGTATGTTGCTCAAGATAGTCCACATCTCACATCTGTATGTTGCTCAAGAAAGTCCACGTCTCACATCTGTATGTTGCTCAATAAAGTCCACGTCTCGAATCTGTATGTTGCTCAAGATAGTCCACGTCTCACATCTGTATGTTGCTCAAGAAAGTCCATGTCTCACATCTGTATGTTGCTCAAGATAGTCCACGTCTCACATCTGTATGCTGCTCAAGATAGTCCATGTCTCACATCTGTATGTTGCTCAAGATAGTCCACGTCTCACATCTGTATGTTGCTTCAATAAAGGAAGAATTGTATATCAGCTGCACATACACACAAAAGTCTTTTTTTAAAAGTGGAGAGGGAGGGTGGAACACAGAAAAAAAGAGATTACCTTTAGCAAAGATAGCTCTTCCAAATTTGGTGAAATCCACCTTCACAGGCTGATCCTGTGTCAAGGGGTCATAGAGTCTTCTCACTCGAACTTTCTGGAACAGAAAAGCTGCTTCCTCATCTTTGCCTCCCGAAAGCTGTGTGGCCTTACGAAGCCAAAACTCTGCCAGCACGGGTAGCCAGAGCTCCATTAATGCTTTTCCTGGGAAGTCATTAATGTAGTTGTATTCAATTTTATTCAATTAATATTGTTTTCTTCAGTCTTACAAGGTCAATAATGTCGTTGTCTTCAATTTTAACATGAAATTAATGTTGCTGACTTTAATTTTTGAAAATTTATGAATGCGACAGTCTGCAGTTTAAGAATGTTAATAACTGGGTGTCAGTGTTGTCAACATGTGCAGATAGACCAAACTTTATATGAGACCTTCTTCAGCAGAATGAATGTGTGAAAGATTAGAGGAAGACCAAGGAAGAAACAGATAGATGGCACAGCTGAAACTTGAAAAAATAATATGAATAAAATCGTAGCACAAGCCATTTGAGAACTGCAAGAAAAATCCATAATCAGCAACACTGGGCTACAAATAGGTAGCAGTGTCACAACAAAACAAAAAAGAAGAAGAATGTGGTTGCCTCAAATTCTACAAAGTCTTTAATGTAATAGTCTTTGAATTTATCAAGTCATTAATGCAGCTGCCTCCAATTTTTAAAAAAAAAAGGTCATGAATGTGGTTGTCTTCACATTAAGTATATGATTAATGTGACTGTGTTTAATTTAAATATGTTATTAATGTAGTAAGCTTTAATTTTTTTTAAAGTAATTAATTTGCTTGTCTTTAATTCAAGAATATCGTTAATGGATTGTCTAGAATTTTAATAAGTCATTAATTAATCAGCAACTCATTATTTGGTTGTCCACAAGTTAGGAATCAAAGCTGTGCCATTGGTTTTAATCTGTGAATAATGAACAAATGAAATAAAACACACACAAAACATTTGCACCTTACAATCTTTCCAAACATCAGTATTACATTTGTTCTGTAGACAGACACACACACAAATGTCAACACACATTGACGGAAAGTGTAACTAGCAAGACAAATTTGCAGTATCTTCTTCAATAAATGCATATGACCTGACATCCGGCTGACCACTGAGGCTCTGAAAAGTTATTCATTCTAGCTAGGTTTTCCTGATGCAAATTTCCCCATTTCTGGATCAGGAGTATAACGTTTTGTCACCCAGCTACTGAGCGAAGTGCTTAGTGTGACACTGTGAGCTGTGGATTTCATGTAGAATAGGTATTTCAAATTTTTATATGTCATTCTTGTGGTGTGTTGTTGCTGCACTAAAATGACAGCCAATTACATTCATTTATTGGGTGACAAGTGTGCAGTGATGGTGGAAACTGGACTATTCACTAAAAAATTACTACATGTATGTGATTTTAGTGCCTTGGTTTCATCAAGTATGGTTGTTCATACAGTACAATTTCATTATAATCATGTAGCAGGTCCTTTGCAGAATGGCGCTCTCAACAAATCATGCCCAATACCCACATGGTCACCTGCTAGTTTCTCACCTTGTGAACTTTCATGTGTGTTCTTGATATCCTAGGTCACACCAATGATGCTTCCAGGGGCCCCATTTGGAAAGGGGGAGAGAAAAAAACAGATGGCCTCCCTATCAAGCACGTTGTAATAGCTAACTAATTAGGGATTTTTCCTATGAAGTCAGAGCGCATCTGTATGAGGGATGAGATACCAACAGTCTGCACACAAATAAGCAGATCTGTAAAATGGATGTGCATGGACAACTGCCATTCTGGAATAAGACTAAATTCAAAAGTGGATGAACACCCAGAACAACAAAAAGATGAAGATATCCTGTGTCCAGGGTTGTTCTGGCTGATCCCCGTTTCTTCTTCAGGACACACCCATAAGAGCTCCATCCCCATCTTCAGCAGCAAGCGAAGAGAAGCAAAATTCTGATGGTACCAGCAACTGTCTGATTGTATAACCGTCTCACCTTACCCCTGAGTGTTGAGTGTCAGCCAGTTCCCTCCCTACTTCTTCTTCTTCCAGTAACTATTACTTTCATTTCTCAACAAACAATTATGGCATTTAATATGGCAATATGATGATATCATGAGTCAATATCAAACTACATAAAAAGATATCAAATCACATGAAAAGATACCAAACGACTTGAAAAGAGATCAAACCACATGAAAAGATGTCAAACCACATGAAAAGGTATCAAACCACAAGAAAAGATATTAAACAACATGAAAAGATATCAAACCACATGAAAGATATCAAACCACAAGAAAAGATATTAAACAACATAAAAAAAGATATCAAGCCACATGAAAAGATATCAAACCACTAGAAAAGATATTAAAGAACATGAAAAGATATCAAACCACATGAATAGATATTAAACAACATGAAAAGATATAAAACTACAAGAAAAGATATTAAACAACATGAAAAGATATTAAACAACATGAAAAGATATTAAACAACATGAAAAGATATCAAACCACATGAAAAGATATGAAACTACAAGAAAAGATATTAAACAACATGAAAAGATATTAAACAACATGAAAAGATATCAAACCACAAGAAAAGATATCAAACAACATGAAAAGATATCAAACCACAAGAAAAGATATCAAACAACAAGAACAGATATCAAACCACATGAAAAGATATCAAACTACAAGAAAAATTTTAAACAACAAGAAAATATATCAAATCACATGAAAAGATATCAAACTACAAGAAAAGATATTAAACAACATGAAAAGATATCAAATCACATGAAAAGATATCAAACTACATGAAAAGATATCAAACTACAAGAAAAGATATTAAACAACATGAAAAGATATAAAACCATATGAAAAGATGTCATGCCACATGAAAAGATATTAAACAACATGAAAAGATATCAAACCACATGAAAAGATGTCAAACCACATGAAAAGATATCAACCACATGAAAAGATATCTAAAGACATTGCGTTGGATAGGACACACTTTGAGAAAACCTGAGAGCAGTTAAATTAAAAACTCTTTGCACTGGAACCCACAGGGGCATAGGAATAAAGGAAGGCCAAAATACACATGGAGAAGGGAGCTGAAGAGCGAGGTTAAAAAGATAGGGAGGACATAAGGAGAACTTAATGCGAGAGCGAAGGATACAATGACTTGGCATGAGCTGGTTGAGGGCCTATGCTCCATTGGGGAGTTAGAAATGCAGAAGAAGCACATTATGTGTAATGATCTTGTTCTTAAGAATCCCAAACATTACATAATATAGTCTGTTTCTTTTTTGCAACTGATCGTTGAATAGTATAGAAATCTTGCATTTTCAGATGTCTCTTTGAAAGCTTTATACTCTGGATTTTTCAGAGTGGTTATTTCCCCTCCTCAAACAACTGCTGTGAAATGTTTTAGGACTAAAAGAATTAACTGAAGTATCTCATACAGGAACCTACATGTCTGAAAAGTCAAAATGAGATTGTCTGAGCATCTGACAAGAATTACCATCTACCTAGGAAAGCCACAATAAAGAAATATAATGAACCCAGAGCAAAGGGAAGACCAGGCAAGATGTTACGACAGCATCAACCAAGAATAACTGTAAAGAAATGAAGATCAATGCATTAAAAAAAAAAAGCACACAGATTTTTACATTCCCCAACACCTCAGTGATGTAACTAAAGGAAGAAAGGGAAAACAAAGATGAAAAAATGAAATGTGTAGACAAAATAATCACCTCCCTGTTTCCAAACATCTGGCTTCCTGTGTGGCTTTGGGATAATCCAGTAATCTTGAATCACTTTTGCCCATTGTTTCATGTTAAAGTAAACCTGGAATTACATTGGCCTTTTTCAGTAAATCAGGAAAATGTTTAAAAGGCATCATAATTTAGTTAGTGATATCTCTCCCTGCGGTTTAATGTGGTGCTAAAGATTAATGGTTAATTTTATTTCTGCAATTTTTAAATACATTTTGGCATTATTAAAAATAAATGGGAACAAATGGTCTGAGAGCGAGAGAGAGAGAGAGAGAGAAAAAAGACATCCAAGGAAAACATTCAGAAGAACTTTATTACGAGTGTGGGGAAAAAAAAATTCCCAACTGTTAATAAAAACTTACAAAAATAACAATAAGAATGAGACCAACACTGTTCTTTGGCCACTTAATGAGAAGAGAGACATTAGAGAACATCGTGACAACTGGATCAGTGGAAAAGGGGATAGAGGCAGACCAAGAGAGATGATGTTGGATGGGCTGAAACAGTAGCATGGGGGGGGGGGATTTAAAAAAAGTGAACTTTTCCAGGCAACCAGGGATCCTGATTTGTGGAGATGCATGAGCACCTACGTCAGTTGGCAGGGCACATGATCATGATGAACAAGAACTTGGACAAAAGCATCCACATAAATCAAAATGTCACACAACTCAACTTCTTTGGCTTTTTTGGGTCTAATCATCATGCTGGGGGCTAAGTGATTTTGTGTATTTGTGTGGTACTGTTTTATTTATGTATGAACTGATTAAGGCTACACAGCCGCAACGTTCATGTTTTGTTTGTGTTCATTATATTGTGAAGCTTACTGATATAATTTTTGTTCAGTTTTATATCTTTTCTTGATGTTTTATCTTCATTATCATCTTTTGCGTGCCATTAAATGTCATCTATAGCTCACATTGAATTCCTCAATTTCACTATATTGCATGCAACTTTCCGTTTTTCCAGATGAAAGTTATTGTGCTATGAGGAGGAATGGAATGGAACTCACAGCCCATGGCGATGGTGAGTGTGACAAGCAGAACATCATGCTGCGCCTCTTTACTTCCCAGAACTTTACCTGGTAACCACTCAAGGCTGGGCTGACCTGGGTGCCACGGTTATTTTTTACACAAAAATTTTAAAAATGCAAACATCATGCTCCATTCAGATTCAAAAACACTACCTTCTTTTCTGCAGGTGAGTATCCAGCCAATACAACACAGCGGTTTCCCTTGTTAATAGTGCTTGAGATTTTTTTTCCACTTCTCTTTTTAATCACATGTTTTTAAAGCTGGGTGGGGTGTGGGAGTCTTGCTATATATGGGGGAAGGGGAGAGTAGGGTCGCACCACATGAAAAGAAGTTGAAAACCACTGGAAAATGTCAGTTTTGGGCTGGTAAAACCCGACAGGCGCGCCTGTGGAAAAATCTCAATATTGGGCATTTTTAGGCTATATCCATTTTTGCCTCTAGTTTGCTCCAAAATGTCAAATTACATGTGTAGATAACCTATTCTACATCTAGAGTGACTATTCATGTGTGAAATAATAATTTTGGACACAAAAGTTGCTGGGGAAATTTAATAGTAAAATCTGTTTTTTCCTCGTTTGCCTATCTCCTTTTCTGCCATCAGTTTGCTTCAAAATGCTCAACTACTCCTCTAGAGTATCTGCTGAAGTGTTTAATGATAGACTAAGGCCAAATTTTTAACTTTTAGAAAATGTCAGTTTTTGGCTGGAAAAACCCGACAGGCGCGCGTCTGTAGAAAAATCTCAATTTTGGGCATTTTTAGGCTGTCTCCAATTTTGCTCCAAAATGTCAGATTACACATCTAGATTACCTACTCTACATCTACAGTGTCCATTCATGTGTAAAACAATTGTCTGGGACTCAAAGTGAAGTGGTAGGACACCAAAAGTTGTTGGGGAAATTTGTTAGTAAAATCTGTTTTTTTCTCGTTTGCCTATCTCCTTTTCTGCCATCAGTTTGCTTTGAAATGCTCAACTACTCCTCTAGAGTATCTGCTGAAGTGTGTAATGATAGACTAAGGCCAAATTTTTAACTTTTGGAAAATGTCAGTTTTTGGCTGGAAAAACCCGACAGGCGCGCGCCTGTAGAAAAATCTCAATTTTGGGCATTTTTAGGCTGTCTCCATTTTTGCTCCAAAATGTCAGATTACACATCTAGATTACCTACTCTACATCTACAGTGTCCATTCATGTGTAAAACAATTGTCTGGGACTCAAGGTGAAGTGGTAGGACACCAAGAGTTGTTAAGGAAATTTGTTAGTAAAATCTGTTTTTTCCTCGTTTGCCTATCTCCTTTTCTGCCATCAGTTTGCTTAGAAATGCTCAACTACTCCTCTAGAGTATCTGCTGAAGTGTGTAATGATAGACTAAGGCCAAATTTTTAACTTTTGGAAAATGTCAGTTTTTTGCTGGAAAAACCCGACAGGCGCGCGAGCCTGTAGAAAATCTAATTTTTAGGCTATTTTTTGGGAATTTTTATTTAGCTATCTCCAATTTTGCTCCAAAATGTCAGATTACACTTCTAGATTACCTACTCTACATCTACAGTGTCCATTCATGTGTAAAACAATTGTCTGGGACTCGAAGTGAAGTGGCAGGACACCAAAAGTTGTTGGGGAAATTTGTTAGTAAAATCTGTTTTTTCCTCGTTTGCCTATCTCCTTTTCTGCCATCAGTTTGCTTCGAAATGCTCAACTACTCCTCTAGAGTATCTGCTGAGGTGTGTAATGATAGACTATGGCCACATTTTTAACTTTTGGAAAATGTCAGTTTTTGGCTGGAAAAACCCAACAGGCGCGCGCCTGTAGACAAATCTCCATTTTGGGCATTTTTTTTAGGCTGTCTCCAATTTTGCTCCAAAATGTCAGATTACACATCTAGATTACCTACTCTACATCTACAGTGTCCATTCATGTGTAAAACAATTGTCTGGGACTCAAAGGTGAAGTGGTAGGACACCAAAAGTTGTTGGGGAAATTTGTTAGTAAAATCTGTTTTTTTCTCGTTTGCCTATCTCCTTTTCTGCCATCAGTTTGCTTTGAAATGCTCAACTAATCCTCTAGAGTATCTGCTGAAGTGTGTAATGATAGACTAAGGCCAAATTTTTAACTTTTGAAAAATGTCAGTTTTTGGCTGGAAAAACCCGACAGGCGCGCGCCTGTAGAAAAATCTTTAATTTTGGGCATTTTTAGGCTGTCTCCATTTTTGCTCCAAAATGTCAGATTACACATCTAGATTACCTACTACGCTACATCTACAGTGTCCATTCATGTGTAAAACAATTGTCTGGGACTCAAGGTGAAGTGGTAGGAGGACACCAAAGTTGTTATAGGAAATTTGTTAGTAAAATCTGTTTTTTCCTCGTTTGCCTATTTCCTTTTGTGCCATCAGTTTGCTTAGAAATGCTCAACTACTCCTCTAGAGTATCTGCTGAAGTGTGTAAAAACCCGACAGGCCCCCCTGAGAAAAATCTAATTTTGATTTTTGGGGCTGTCTCCATTTTGCCCCCAAAATGTAGATTACCATTAGTTCCCTATTTAAAATCTACAGTGCCCTTTCAGTGTAAAAAAATGTCTGGGCCGGGGGAAAAGGGGTAGGACACCAAAAAGTTGTTGGGGAAATTTGTTGTAAATCGTTTTTTCCCTTTTGCCTATTCCTTTTTGCCTCAGTTTGCTTCAAAATGCTAAACATCCTTGGTATTTTGAAGTGTGAAATGATAGAAAGGCCACTTTTTTAAATTTTTGGAAAATGTCAGTTTTGGGGAAAACCCACAGGCGGCCCTGTAGAAAAATCTAATTTTTGATTTTTAGGTGTCTCCAATTTTGCCCAAAAATGTCAGATTACAATCGATTCCCTCCCTTACATCTCGTGTCCTTCAGTGTAAAACAAGTCTGGGACTCGAAGTAAATGGTAAAACAAAAAAAGTTTTGGGGAAATTTTTTA